TTAATAGTCTCTGATTTCTATGTAAGTAAATTAAAGCAAGTGGGACTCAAACTTGCACCCTCAAGGAGTGGTAAAATTTGTTGAACTTTTCACACCTACACAGATATATGTTAAACTATTTTCAGAATGGGAACCTTTTCAGAAAGACTTTGCTCAACTTCCTGTCCACAGGTGGCCCATAATAAAAGAACACATAGATCTCTGCTCCACAGATGGGTTAGTTGTGGGTAACAGGGACCCAGATGCTCAAAACCCTCAGGACAATTACATCATTGTTTATCTTCACATTTTCCTTTGTCTCAAAAGACTTAAATTCTTACCTATGTACTTGAAAAACAAACTGCCGCCTTCCAATCAAGATGTTGTCAACTCAGACTTTGAAGTTCAGACTACAAATCCATACTAAGTGAAATATAAAAAGAGAAGCTAAAAATAGCTACGCTAATTCAAAAACAAGAGAAACCTCTTACTGGACCAAAAATAGATCAGACATGCAAAGCAACAAGCAGAGCTAAAGCAGAGGCCTCAGGTCTAGAAGTTGGCAGTGTCAGGCACACGTTTAATTTTAGTGGTTGAAAGCGAATAAAAATGTTTCACATAAGAAAGGTGAAAAGAGTTAGCTATAAAGCCTTAAGGTGTCTCTTGTTTATTAAAACACAGGCTTCACATCCGATATGTAAAGTCAGGTGTATTTATAAAAGCACTGGTGGAGTGACCCACCTATTTTCAGTAGCTGTACACTTTGCTGCTTAAAATAAAATGAATATTTCTCCTTAAAAAAAAAAAAAAAAAACAGGCTTCAAAGACAGCCTGATCATTTCTCCCCCTAAGCTAACTATTTATAGGAAGTTGTAGGTCTGGGAAGGTGAGGAGACAGAGATCAGAGTCTCCCGAGGGACAGAGCCAAGATGCACAACACCTGTGTAAGTGGCAACAGTCCACTCCAAAGCTACCAGATAAAGGCGCGTGGGCAAATTGGAAAAGAAAGGAGCAAAAACAAAACAAAACAAAAGCTTCACTGAAATGAGCCTGTCACACACAATATCAGAGCATTTAGTGAGATGCAATGCTTAGGGAGATAATGAGCAATTGAAATATGATTTGATTCCAGTAGGTTAAACTGGGGGACCGGCTGATCAAAACTTTAAAAAAGCATGAGGAGGATGCGCAAACAGATAAATAATGTAGCATACTGCTCATTGTCTCTGATTACTAGTGAAATACAAATCAAAACAAGATACCACCTCACATTTGACAAACAGTACAAAAATGAAAGTGGAGTGATCAGAGTTTAGGTAAGAACAGTATGTAAGATGGATGAGAGGGAAGAAATCAGGATCAGCTCAACCACTAGAGGTTATATCAATAATCGAATAATGAGAAACGAGGACTATAGATTAACAGACATTGTGCTTTAAAAGAAGGATCAAATGTAAAGGGTTTTGGGAAAGCGAATGCATCCTGATAACTAAGTAGAGCTTTTTGCAACAAACCCTGTGATATCTACGGAAGTGCACTATCTACTCTCCACAAACTCAAGGAAATGATTAATTCCATTTGTTCTGTTCTGGGAAGCCAGATGATTCCAAAAATCTCCTTTAGGACGTAGGTTTTATTTCTTCCCGAAAGTAAGCTGCTGCTGGTTGCAAATGACAACGACCTCTACACATGCAAATTATACCCACGATTAAAAAGCCTTCTTCCTTCCTAAAATGAGATACCATGAGAGTTCAATAGCATGCAGAGATAGGCATATAAGGATATATAGAAACCTGCTAAGATGAATTTTCTAGGCATATAATGGTTTATGAAGAAAATTGTTGAGATGAATTTTCTAGGTCTCAAGAAAAATAAGCTTGAAAACTTTAAATCAAGAAACTAAAGTGGATCTAATTTTGAATTTATGATCTTTTGGGACTGCACTAAACTGAATTTGCCTTTGCAGTATTTCTTCAAACAAAATCAATAGCACAGATTTTTTTTCTGAGGAATGTTTATATCATTAAACAACATAGCTAGCTAAATGGAAATTTAAAATTATAAAAGATGAAATAATTGAAATCAAGTTTTTATTTTGATTTAATACCTACCTTACTCACTTCTACTAAGGAACCTTTCAAAATACATGGGATAATCGAGTTAGGAGGAACTTTAAGCCCATCTAATGTAATCCCCTGGAATTATAGGTAACAGAAAAAAAACAGAGAAGTTGAATGATTTGCCCAAAATCACTCAATTTGTTAGCTACATTATGAACTCAAATCCTATAGAGAAATTCATTGCTTTTTTGATTCTACAGAGTGGCTTATTTCTAATATATAGTGATAGCTGAAGTTATAGGCCACAGAGTGTCCAGACATTTGGTCAAAAATTATTCAGAGTATGTCTGTGGGGGATTTTGGAGGTGATATTAACATTTGAGCCAATGGATTGAGTAAAGAAGATTTTTCTCCCTAATGTAGGTTTGGGTCTCAACCTAATCTGTTGAAGACCTGAATAGAACAAAAAGGCTGATCCTATCACAAGAAAGGAAAGGAACTCTTCCTGACTGACTGCTGTCAAGCTGAGACATCAGCTTTTGCCTATCTTTGGTCTCAAATGGAAACACAGGTACTGCCTGGCCCTTAATTCTGCCAGCTTTATGACTACAACATAAACCATGAGCTCTCTTGGGTCACCTGCTTGCTGAATGCAGATCTTGGGACTGTCGTATGAGCCAAATCTCTATAATAAATCTCTTTTCATACACATTCATCATGTTGCTTTCCTTTCTTTGTCAAATCCTCATACAATATTAAATAAACCTTTAGCTCAAAGGATGAAAGAAAATGGTCTCAATGAATATGGCAGAGACTGCAGATGAGTTAGTCCAAAGAAAGTCATTTGCAGCACACTTTTCCTTTATCTTCCTCTAGCATGAAGGCTGAAACTAAAATGCAGGTTCCTTGCTGTTCTATAGCTGAAGGCAGTCATGAAGCACAATTTTGAAAAATAAGTTAAAATGGATATCTTTGGGAGGATTTTTCTTTGTCCTCTGCATTTCATTACTCCTTTTTCCTGCTTAGAGTTTGGAATACACACGGCCTGGGGTGGAGGCCTCAGAGACAGTGAGGACAAAGGCACATGCCAGCTTACCTGAGGAGGAAACACAGCAACCTGGCTGGTGAAGGGAGCTCTGAGGAACTGCTCTTGGTCTGCTTCTCCAAAAATTTTGACACAAACACACCGCACCTAGCTTTAGTTAGGTTTTCTTTATTTATAACCAAAACTTTCCTATATATGATTACAGCCCAGACTTCCACTATAACAATAAGCCAGAAGTAAACATTTATCTAATTTTAATAAAACATAGCCATTTATTCAAGAAATTTCTGAAAACCTTCCCTACAGATGCCACGTAAGAGACACTATCCAAAATCCTACCCACTCCCAACCAATGACGCTGGTAGAAAGCTAGCTTGTTGCTTGCAATTCAGGATTATAGTCTGGGGAAGAAACCCAGAGGATCACTTATGATTTAAGGCACGCATGTGACTTGCAAAAGAATAACACTAAAGTGGAATGAACCTTGGAGAGCTTTCCCCATGAGTTCACTCCTTTCTAAAAGCTCTTAGGAAAACTAATCATGTTCACTGACACTTCCATCAATAGAAATGCTCATGGACCATTCTCATGCAGTAAAAGCAACTATCTCCTTCCACTGATGTTGGCACTAGAAATCCAGCTAGTTGTGAAGTTGTAGTATAGTGGAAAGAGTACCTGATTTAGTCAAAGATCTGGGTTTAAGACAGTCCTGCTACTTTTTCCTTCATCTGTCTCAGAGACATATTTTGAACATTCCTGAGTTCTGTTCCCTAATAATAAAAATATATGAATGCCATAGAGAAAAGGGAATAACAAAAATTAGACCAGAAATAAACAAAATGGAAATAAAAAAGATAATCCAAATGAAAAATGAAACCAAACTGTTTTTATGGGGGAAAAAAAACAGACAAACCTCTAGTTAGATTCACAAAGAAAAAAGGGAGAAAACTCTAATAAATCGAAACAGAAATGAAAGAGAAGTTAAAACAGACATTTCAGAAATACAGAGAACAAGATTACCCTGCTGATGGATTAGAAGAATTAATTGTTTAAAAGGCCACTGACCCCAAAGCAATGTACAGATTTAATACAATCCCTATCAAGGCTCCAATGGCATTTTTCACTGAACTAAAAGAAATGAACAAACATAACTGAAATTCTATGAACTTCATAAAACTTTAGTAGAAGAACTTCACAGAACTTCAGTAGAACAAAAGACCCCAGCTAGCCAAAATAATTCTGACCCAAGAAAAAGGAAAAGTGGTGATATGATACTCTTTGTTCTCAAGCTATATTAAAGAGTTATAGTAATAAAACAGCATGGTATTGTAACAAAGCCAGACACAGAGACCAGTGAAATAGAACTCAGAACCCAGAGATCAACTCACACATCTATGGCCATTTAATCTACCATAAAGGAGCCAAAAGTATACTGGGGAAAGGAAAGTCTCTTCAAAAAAAGGATGGACGGCCACATGCAAAAGAATGAAACTAGATATTGCTCTTACAACTTACATAAAAGTTTGCTCACAGTAGATTGAAGACATGGATGTAAGATCTGAAACTCCAAAATACATTGATGCGAATATAGGCAAAACAGTCCATGATATTGGCTTCATAGATATCTTTGTGGAGATTAGCACTCTGATCCCTAATATTCTTTAATTACATATTTACTGCCTACAGTTTTTTCTAGACTCTAGCTTCATGAGTGTTTGTCTGAGATTATATCTCTTGTGCTTGGTGGATAATAAAAGTTCCAGGAAGCAAAATGCAATCAGTGCAATGCACAACTGTGTTTACTTTTATTTGCTACTATGCATTTAATTTTGGATAAATGAAGTGAAAGTAGAGATCTCTGAAAAATTCTTGGGATCCTTCTTGAAGGAATTACAAGCTGCTTCCATACAACATACCTTGTCCTGAGTTTGGCAACGGAAACAGTCACATTCAAAACAGTATTGGTCCCTCAGCTGCTTCCGGCGCTCCACACTGGTCATGAGCATATCCAGGTAGCAGATGGTGAGCTGTAGAAGTCAAAGAGAAGGAGGGGGGAGTCAAAAGGCAACCCCACATGCTTATTTTCTTTAAGAAACAGTTATCACTATTGCCAATTATTACAGTAAAACATTTCTATTATACACCAAAATGCGCAAAAGATACCACTTACAGTACATCTATCCAGTCAAATATAAAAATTTTAATGTATTACCATCCAGCCTTTGTTATGTGGTGAGATTAAGTGCATCATATTTATTTTAAAGATGGCCTCACGACCTCTATACACTTTTTCACCATGCCTTTCATTCATTAGATATTAAAATACCGAGAGGTGGTCTATATTCAGTATTAATAAAATTTGGCAATAAATTCTATAATCATGAGCAATTAGAGAAGTCAAATTAATTAACCCTTGCAAGAAAATTCATAGCAGATCATGTAGCCAAACTATTCTTAAATTTTAATCAATTCTATAGTTGCCTCAAAGAATTTAGGGTGAATCCAATTTACTATCTTTGAATGAATAGAGTTCTCTTATTTGTGGCTAGATTTATAAAAGCAGAGTGGTTTTAAAATGTGGAGACTAAATCCTCAGAAGGCAGCCATGGATGCAGGCTCTTAAGGTAGACTTCCTGATCCTAGAAATCTGGTTATATAAGTGAGGACACTGGATTGGGAGGGTGAAGGATAAAGGGAGGAGAGAAAGAACAATGGTGGACAATGATGGGTGCTTTGGTGATGGGAGTGGTGTGGTAACATAAATCATATGTGCTGTTGTAAACTAATGTTACCTCAATAAAAAAGTTAAGACCCAAAGTGGATTTCCCTGAATCCTTTCAAGTATAGTAGCTGTGCCCTCCCTTAGATGGTGAATCATCACAGATGAAAGGATATTTCAGGGACTCCTCAGGTTTCTCTTTAGTCCTATGGCCTTTAGGCACATTATGAAGCTGTCAGGGAGAAAGGACGTCCAGAACGAACACTACAGGTACAGGTTTGATGGAATCCAACGCCCCCCCGCCCCCCCAGACACTGGAGCTGCAAATCCTGCATCACCAAAGGAAAGTGTGCTGGGACCGGAGGGTGGAGTTAAGCAGCCAGGTTTGGATAAAAAAGTGGACATGTTGGCCCTCCCTGGTGGCGCAGCGGGTTAAAACACAGCACTGAGAAGCTAAAGCCGCTTCTGCATGAGTTCGATCCCTGCCTGCCCCGGAGGCGACCACATGGCGCCGCAGACCTCTCCTGACCCGCCCGCTGCTCCCCTCAGCGGTGTACTTTGTCGATCTGCCTGTTCTGCTCCCCACTCTGTCTCTGGTGAAGCTTCTTGCCGCCCCTGAGCCTCTGGCCTGTACCCCAGTTCTGTATGCACAAATAAATCTTTAAAAAAAAAATTGGACATGTTGGGGGTATCCTGGTCTCATGGACCGGGGCATGTTTATTGGCTCTTCACCAGTTTTCAGGATGTGATTGGGATTCCAGGTCAGCGGAACTGGGAGGACACATTAATCAACTTATCACTCTCTCTCTCTTTTTCCCTGAGTTATTCATTTCCCTTTTCTCTCATAAATAAGCCCATTATTAACCTTTTTGTGTGTTTGCAGTTGAATCTTAAGCACACAGTTGAGGACCCACCATCAGGCAACCCAATCCAGATTGGGTTGTCCTGTAACAATGACAGACCTCCTGTGCATTAAAGGTCAGTTCAAAATGTACAAAATAGACTGCCCATCCCCTTCTACACCTGTTCCATGTCAGTCAACAGTAATTAACATTTTCGTTTATCCAAGCTGACACCTCTGTTGTCCTTGAATTCTCATTCTTTCATACCCCTTCTACCCACCAGAAGATTCTGTGGGCTTGACCTTAAACATATCTCTAGGGCCGACCACACTCTACCTTTCCCAACATCACCAATATACCATCGGATCTGCATCACCATCATCTCTTCAAGTCTCAAAGCTGGTCTCTTGCTTCCCCCCCTGAGGGCCCTGCACTCCACCCTGAGGTCAGGTTTACCAAATCTTCCCTCATTCAAACTGCTCTGGAGACTTTCACTTTTGCTTAAAGGTCAAGTCCCCATGATGCATTTCCACAGTTCAACTAAAAACATCGTTCCTGGACAGCTGTCATTGTCCAAGGACTGGGTTAAGTCTATGATAAAATGAGTAAAGAAATGCAAAGGTCTAGAAGCTTTTACAGCAATTTGATAGAGGAATTTTATATTAATAATAAAACCGTCAGCTTTACTTCCTATGTTTTTTACATCTCAGCTTTTCTAGTAACCTGTTTTCATTACATATTATAAAAATACCTCTTTATAATGGATTGGAAAAAATGCAAAACAAACTGGCTCTCATCACAGGTAGTGATTCCGTCCTGCTTCCGCTCTAATCTCATCTCTTTCCTCCTAACTGCTCCGGTCAGCCTGTTTTCCTGTCTTCACACATCCTCCCCCCATTAAAGTCTATGAACTGGCTGTTTCCTCTGCTTTCCCCCTGCCCAACTTGACCTCTCTCAACTCTGTGTTTCAACCAAATCTCACATTCTCACCGTCATTTACTTAATCTCCCTATTTAAAATAGGTTCCCCCCTACCTCAGCACTCCAAAGTTTCTCTCTCTTCTCTAGATTTTTACTTTTCTGTAGCATATATCCAATTGTAACTTCCTGTGTAAATGATTTCTTTATTTGCTTTTACATGTAGAAAGAAACTACGGAGCTATGTGCAGAGGGTAAAGAACGGGAAGTGGCAGACAAGGAGGAAGGCAGGATTATCCCCTGAAGAAGATGACGAAAACTTGCAGCAAAAGCACATGGATGTGCTGTTTCTTAGTCTCAAAAGAGCATATCACATCTACAAAGCTTGACCTTACTTGTTTGAAAGCACAGTAGCAGAGAAGACCAGCCTTTTTGACATAAAATGCAGGCTCATATGTGAGATCTCACTAAGGCCATCAGTGGTACAGAGGCCTTGTCTGGACAGCCAGAGGTGTCCAATGCAGCCTGGCCAACACCAGGTGACCCGCCACAGTCCCATCTGCCCGGCAGACTATACACACCACTCCATTAAAAGCCAAAGTGTTGCCCTAAGAAATGTAGACAGCGACATTATTCACACCCAGCAGGCAGTGTGAGACAGTGAAAGGCAGCAGAGACACATCTGAGTTTGCACTCCCATCTCTAGATTCCAGCACCACGCTCCCAGGGGCTGTCGGAGAGACTCAAACTGGAGTACTCGAGCTCAGTCTGGCGGCAACTGGGTTCCTTCAGCTGAGACCACAGTCACTTTCATTTCCTAGACCTTTCTTTTGTTTTGTGACCTGAAGCCAGGACTGCCACTGAGATGCAAGGGCCACAACATTAGGCAAGTTACTCGGGTTGACAGAGCACATTATGTTCCAAATTCTCAACAGCCAATTTTGAAGCTCACTTAGAAATAGCCTATTAGAGCATCTGGACAGTCACACATTCACCTCGTATGATCGAGATCTCAGCCCCAGTTTCCTTATATAAAGAGAGTTGATAAAATGAGCTGATCTCTGTGCTCCCTCTTGGGTTGAACTCTAAGACCCTAATTCTTAATTCAGTCCACTGGCTTTTCATCAACACCCCCAGCTACTAGAACAGATCAATAGGAAGTAATTATTGGGGGATTACAACGTGCCCCAGGTGATGATCGCGAATTCAGGGCTTGTGGTACCAGAGAAATAAGCTCGACTAAACCGAGACGTGATTACAAGGGCCAAAACTATTGAGTGCTCGTGCCAGGCGGTGAATGGGCAACAGGAGACTACTTGTTTCATTTACCCCAATAAATAGACTCTTACAGTCTCCCTCAGTAACCCGTAACTGCTATAACCATTACCTGGACTACACACGGTTTTCTAAGTAGCCTCCCTGCTGCCTTCAGTCTACTCGTCACCTTCTAAACAGCTTTCAAGAAATCTTCCTCAAACTCATATCTGATCATGACATTTCTCTAAAAAAACCCTACCAGATTTTTGTATGGTTTCTCATTCCCCATAGGTAGAGGCACACAGGTTTCCCCAGCTGATTCTGTCTGCCCTTCTAGTGTCACCCTACAGGCTGCCTTAGTTATGTGCATCAAGACCCCTGTAGACATGTACCTGCGCCGGTATGTACAGCGCACCTCAGCAATGGCTAGCCAACGGTCTTCCGCTCCACTCTCAACTTCCTCAGAACTTCTCTTCTGGCAAGCTTGGCCAAATAGGCATCTCCCAGGGAAAGCTGTCCCGTTCTCCCTCTGTGACTTTTTCATGCCTTTGAGGTTTGTAAAGTACGCTGTATCAAAGCTATAGGTCTTAGTAGCTAAAATAGTCATATTCATATGTTTGAGGGGGAGGGGGGCGGAAACAGCCAGATGACTCTCTGGTAATCATGCTAGACTTTATCAGTCAAGAATTTACAGTTTATTAAAGACTCATTAACTCACCAGTTTTAATGGCAAATCTGTTCACTCAATGCAGGCCTCATTTAATGGGAAATTTTCCACGAAACTTTGCTATTGAACAGTGGATGCCTTAGTGGCACAGGATGAAATTACATTAAAATATTAATGCCACTGACCATTGTTTTGTCATTTTCGCAGAGCTCTTATGGAGAATATAGCAAATCATTGGCAACATTAGCGTAATAACATGAAAGACATTTGCTGAATATTGAATATATTGCTTACTTGAAAATTTCAGGGCAAAATGGAACCCTTTTCTATGATAGTTAAGGGTCATGTTTTCATTATACACAATTGACTGGATAATAAAGCAATATTAAAATTAAATCTCATTTTCATCTGGAATCACAGTGACACAATTATAACTAGTCCTGATTCTGAATTTTAAAAACTCTTAGAAAAATATCACTTCTTTTTAGAACCAAGCCTTGGTATTTCTCTTGTTTCTTCTCTTCGTCATTCTGATAGTCAGTCAATCATCAATCCCATTTATTTTAGCTTCTAAGTATATGCTTCACATCACCCATCATGAGCCAACACTGGAATTTCACCTGACATTGGGCCGCCATTGTCAACTCTTGCTTGGATCACCAGCCTGACCCTCCCTCTCCCAAACCTGCTCATCTTTGCTTAAGCCCTTCAGGGACACCCCACTGCCGCTCCCTTCCGTAAATATTTACTAGGTGCTTCCTCCACACCAGACACTGTCATGGAACTTGAGATGAGCTAAATCCCTTACTGAAGTCCCCATGAGTTTGCTGCCTGGTCTCTGCACATTCTCTCATCTGCTGGCCACATCTGAATTCTTTGTTCTATTCACGTGAACTGCTTCTTTTCCTTGAACTCACTGTTCTGTCTCTGCCTCTGTCTTTGTCTGGAATGTCTTCTTGGGTTTCAGTCAGCTTTAACTCTATGGACCCTTGAAGATCTAGGAGTCCCTTCCCTGGAAGATTCCCTTAATTGTTCTCCCACCTCTACCTTTTACCACTACTGTGGTGACCCTGCTCTGAACTTCTATAAATGTTGGTGATTTGAAGGGAGATGAGCCAAAGGATTGCTTTATGTAAAGAGAAACAAAGATTAGGAACTTTCCACAGTCATTCTTTTTTAATTCTTTTTTCCCCTTACATTGTTGAGTCCCCATAATTTCCCCACCACATCCTCCATGAACCATCACCAGCTTCCCTTCCACACTAACTTTTGTCCTTGTGGAATTTTCCAGCTTCCCTCATCTGAGGTCTGAATGTCCCCACCTCTATTAGCAGTAAACAGGCTTTCATGCCACTTTCTGGCACTTGGGGACACACATGAGGACTAGACGTAGTTTCTAACTGGTTCTGAGTTTCTATTCCACCATTGTTTTTATCTATAGAAACGCTCACTCATTTACTCAAGTACATACTGGGATCTCCTGTATTACAGGGACGATGCTGTCTTTCCTACGGCAGATGACACTCTGGAACTTACATCTCAAAGAGCACATATTAAAACTGGGGCTTTTACTGTCCTGATAAATAAGAAACCAGCATGCAAAATCAATGCCATGAAATTATCAAAGTTTATTTCCCTAGCCCGCTTAACTAAAACAAATATTTGCATAATAAAAAGGAATTACTTTCCTCAAGGAACTGCTACCTCTTCTCATGGTTGTTCCTCTTTGCCCCCCAAGGAGTCAGTTTTAAATGTGCAAGACATATTTAAGGTGCCTGGAGTGGCTCCTGATGCAACCCAGCAGGGCTAGGGACAGTCCCTGCAAACAGCCCCAGACAGTGAACAATTTTTACCCAGTGAGAAACCTGCCATCTTTACATTCAGCTCAGTTATTTAACAGAGTGTCAAGTCAATGAAGAGTTATTGAAAAGTAAAGTGCTTGGCACTTAGAGGAGATACAGAAGTCAGCCACACTTGTCTGTCCTCATGGAGCTCAGTTAGAGAATTCACCAAAAGAAACAGAATAAATATGGAAAAAAATAGTAATCAACACTTTAAGGGAGATCATAGAGGGAAAGCTCCTTTACTACGGGAAACCAGAAAAGCTTTCTAGAAGAGATGATAAGTAAAAGGGCCTGATAAGAGGGCAGAAACGATGCTTAGAGACAGAACACAACAGAGAAGAGAAGTGTCACGCACCATGGCATGGATAATGGGGTGAGAAATTCTCATTTTCTGAACAAGATGGTATAAGCAGGACTTATGTGACAATTCTCCCTTTGAAGTTACTTGGATAAATACTATCAGACACATATCTGAATCATCTCGCTCAGCAGAACTATTTTGCACAAAGTAAGAGGAAACATTTACGTGTTGCTCCAGAGGTAGAAAAAGAAGACTGTGAGAACAGCCAAATAAACACCAAAAGGTGATTTTTCAATGAAATGAAAACCAACCAAGAATTGGCAGTCAAACCGAGAAAACGATGTAAGAAAGCTCTTTGTCGTTTCCAGTAATTCTAACCATGTTTAATAGTTTTCGTACTTGCTTAAGTACCTTATTATTGCTGTTATTATTTTTTAGTAAAACACCATCAGAGCAGTAAGTAGTAGCAGCAACAGCAAGGACACAGTAATCCCTCAGCTCCCCAGGTAATGCTGCTGAAAATGATTAGTGATCCTTCTCACCTGCTTGAAGTCACACAAGGCCCTAGGAAAAATAGCTGAATTCTCCATATTACTGACAGACATCCCAGTATAGCTAGTATACTGGTCCTAAAAACTGGCAATTCGATAAATGACTGTGCAAGAGACAGCTTATTCAGTTGAAAATCATGTTGGAGGGAGTTTTATCAAGGCCAAATCCCTGTCTACATAATACACGGCATCTCTGAGTTTAGGTTTTATTGTCCTCCTGCTGCAAAACACAATAAAAGCTTATGATACTCTGTTTTCTGTGCCACAAATATGCACTTTATTAAACTGGAAGGTAGAAAGAAACTGGGTTCTAAAAGCAGAACTGTCCATCACCCAGAATTCAGCATGAGCTGTGACCGTGCCGCCGCCTAGACTTGGGCACTCTGCCCTGGGGTCGACCATCTGCAGCTGCTGGGGAGACCCTGCACTTCCAACGAGGTTCCCCCTCGCAGGGAGTCGGCCTGGCCAGCTGCAAAACTAGAGGACTCAAACCAGGTGCCTGCTGGGGGTCATACTTCACTGTCCTCTATTCCTGTCACGTCCTGGCTTCAATCATCACCCAGTGATGCCAAGTTTGTAAAGGTTCACTGACAAGCACCAGGAGGAGAATCTGCTTGGTCTCTTAACACAAAGGGAAAAGTGAGTCAACTTCAAAATGTGATGAGCGGCCTCCGGAGCAAGGAGACCCTGGCATCTCATGCACAAGCTGCCCAGGAAGGGTGACCACTTGTGGGGGGTGAGAGGCTCCTGAACCATCACGTCCACAGTCCACTCTGTTGGCATCCAGAAACATGGTGATGAAGAAGCTGGCCAGTCCATCTATAACTGCACAGAAGGCTCAACTGGTCTTAGGGAGAAGCCACGCTGGGAAGGTCTCTCGTGGAGACGGATTGCTTACCTCGTCTCCTGCCTCGATGTCTCGTACGGCTCGCAGTAGGAGGTGGGGGCCATTGAACACAACTGAACAGTTGGGGTCACAGCTGTGATTGAGCAAAGACATGCTGGAGGGGAGAAAAAGAAGAGGGAGACTGTCGTGATGGCCCAGCAGATGGAGTCAAGTGTCCATCTTAATTTAATGAGGACAGTGGACAAAAGACACTTTAATTGGGGAGGAGGAGGGCGGGTGAAGGCTATGGGTGGAATGTGATATGTCGCCAGCTCACTTCATATAAATGTTCCCTAAGGTAGAGGTTAATCAGAATGGCTTGTTAATAAAAACATGTCCTGGGGCCTTACTGGGGGTGGGGCTGGGGGTGGGGAGGTGGCTGGCGCAGTTACCAGCCAGTCAGGTAACATGGAGATGGGAACAAATCTGCCTGGCAAGAAATGATCGCTGGCACGGGGCAGCAGTCATCACCCACTTTCCCACACGGAATCTCACTCGCTGAGTTCTTTGTTCAAGTGTCACCTCTGTGGAAACATCCAGAGCGACACTGAAGAACAATCAGGCGTACTTCCTCTCAAATAGAACGCCGAGATGCTCTTGCTAACTAGACCCGGTATCCTGGCCAAGACCCAGTCATTTTCTTGCTTTGGAAGCACTTTTTCTTTTATCATTTGAGAAAGGGATTTGAACTGCTGCCATATTTAATAATAAGTACAATATTTCTGAGCATTTACTGCACAGAAAACACTTTTTTAGCACTAGAGCGTATTTATTGAATTTAATTACTACAGTAATTTCTTAAAAGATTTATTTTTAATTATTTATGCATACAAGATCTGGGCTACAGGCCAAAGGTGCAGGGGGAGAGAGGACTCATCAGAGACAAAGTGGGGAGCAGAACGGGCAGATTGACTGTAATACACTGCTGAGGGGAGCAGCGGGGAGACAGGAGGTCTCCTGTGCCCTGTGGGTCGCCCCCTGGCTGGGGATCGAACTCGTGCTGTGGTGGCTGGGGACAGCTTGATGTCACTGAGACTTTAATCCCTGAACCACCAGGGAGGCTTTAATTATTACAATACTCTCATGAGGCCCATTTATAGATTAAAAAACTGATACATGGAAATCAAATGACTTGCCCAGGGACATACAGCTAGTAAGTGTGACTGAATTTGAAGCACATGGTCTGAACTCAGATTATGTTACGTCCTGCAGGCCAATACCAATAGTCTTGTAGCTTATAACATTTGTGAGAAATAAAAAAGAAACAGAATTCTCAGATAAGCAATTAATACAAGAAAGGCCATATTTATATTGGTATGCCAAAGGCATGAACAACAAGTGCCTCTGGAATGCTTGTGACAGAACATCCTGGTGACTCAGCAAAGGATCGGCAGAGACAGCACGCCAGAGGGCCAACCCCTGAATGCTCCTTGCTGCCTGAAGTTACGGGCATGCTAACCCCAAAAACGAAATCGATACTACTGGTACAGTGCGGTGAATCTAGCAAAATACTTCTGCGCTTCAATCCCAGAGTGGGGATTAAGATCAAAGAAGGGTAGGAGAATAAACAAACCTCAGTCGATGATTTACTGGCACCTACAATCCCTCACTTCTTGCCCTGAAATTCTGGAGGACAAGAATTAATGTGAAGTCTGCCTCTTTGCTAAGGCCACAGCAGACAATGTGGAGTTATAAAGTTGTTTCCCTTAAACTTCACATCATCCATTTTCTTGTAGTTTGGCACTAGGCTTCACGTTTGGCTCTTGAGCTAGCTGCTGTAACAGTTTTCCTAACTACCTCCAAAAGGCTGGGAGCTGGATGGGAGTTAGATGTGTTTCTTGAAGTAAAATGAAATGCCTGTCACCCTACCTCGGGTAGAGGCCAACGCCGACTTCCTGCATTTCTGCATTGCAGATAGTGAAAGAATTGCAGATCACCTGTGAAAACAAGAGGAGACCGTCAGGATTACAAAACTCATCTGAGAATCTTCATAGACCAGATAACACAATCAAAATCAATGGAGCCTTGTAGAAGTTGCTTTGGAAAGATACAAGCTAAGTAAAGATGCCTTTTTTGCCTTTTTTTTTTTTTTTTTTTGGCAAATGGAGCTATCTTGGACACTCTTTCCTTAGGAATATTGGGGGGTTAAGTGCAGACATACCAGCAACCTGTCAAAAACATTTAAAAGTCTCAGACTGACCAACACAGGACCTATATTTTTCAGTCTAATTCTCTCTCCCCAAGTTACACAGGTATGTGGAATATTCAACATTTAGAATACCAATCTATTTAATGAGAAATAGACCATATTGAATTCTTCGTTCAAGCAAACGGCTTGTAATTTCCAAGTACGACTGTGCAGCTAGTGAGTCATGGCAATCTGTCTTTTATTCCTACAGAGCGAAGTTCACCCCAAGTGAGTTTGTGACCCATCTGAATGACAATCCATAAGGTGCCCATGAAAGCATGCAGTTAAGCCACAGTATCTACCACTAATGTACATTTAGTGCCTTTCCCATCTCAGTTGCAATCCCTGAGGGCTTCCCTCTGTACCTTATAGGGGCAGAGCAAAAGCAGTAAACTATACATCACCACACTCAAGGAATGGGAAACCTATGTAACCTTTGACACATAGAAACATGGAGAGGACAGTGAATTTAGAATCAAAAAATCTAAGTCCTGTCTCCGAGTCACACAGCACTGTCTCTTGCAGAGCAGTGAAGCATAAGCTGAAGTTCCCGCTGTTGTAGGGCTTCACAGAGCTTCAGTTCTAGTAAGGTAGACAGATAAGAGGTAGTCAATGATAAAAAAAAAAATGTCACAGATGGGTAAATGCAAAGGCTGGAGGAAAGAGCAGATAGGAACCCTTGTGAGAAACTGGCAAGTCAACAGAGACTTGAAGGAATGATGGAGAAAGACAAGTGTGAAGGGCCCGGGACAGGAATTCTTGGGTACAGAGCAACAGCCCGAGGCTGATATGGCCCAAGCAGAGTACATGGAAGAAGGATAAGATGGGAGATCTGAGAGGTATAGCTCATGTAGGCATTTACAGGCAGATTCTTTTGATTATTATAAATTGTTTAATTGACATCATTTTGTGCCTTTTCCATCTCAGTTGCAATCCCCGTGGGCTTCCCATCACCCAATCACCCGTGTGCCATCACCATAGTCCCGTGCACTCCCCCTCCCCATTTCTGATCCCATTCCCCGCTCCTCCCCGTAAAATGTCTCTGGTATATGGCTGTTCATTATTATTTTTTTTTTCTCCCTTGGTCCTTTATTTTCCTGCTACGAGTGAAACCATCAGTATTTTTCTTTTTTTTCTGACAGCCTGATATTTTAACCCTGAGAAGGAAAAGAAGAGTAACTAGGCTGATTGTGAGCAGAGAGAAGGAATCTGATTTCCAGGCTGGAGCCTCCTCCGGCTGTTTGTGGAGCACGGGCGGAAGGAGAGGACAGACTGGTGGAGAGAGGACCCTCGCGTGAAAGAGCGGTGGCTTGGGCTGGACGCTGGAAACAGAGCGGGAGAAATACAGGGTGGTGGTGCCGACACATCCCGAATGCTGTGTGGGGCGTGAAGAATTCGACCAGTGCTCTAGTTTGGGGTCTGAGCAAGTAGAAGATTCTAGTTGCCACTTCTTAAGGCGCCAAAGACTGTGAAAAGAACTGGCTTGGCTGCAGGGAGTTGGGGGAGTTCACTGATGCGGTGTTAGACATGTAAATTTGAAATGGCCTATTAGACATTGAGGCGATGAGATGAGAACAAGAATGAGTAACTGAAGCACTAGAGAGCAGTTGGCCTGAGATGCACAGTGAACAAAGCAGAGCAAAGTCCATCAGGAAGGTAGAAGTCAGGCCCTCCCTGGTGGCGCAACAAGTTAGGACGCAGCACTGCAAGATGGCCGCAGCCGCTTCAGTGACAGTTCAATCCCAGCCCCGCAGTGACCCACAGGGCCTCTCCTGTGCCCCCGCTGCTCCCCTCAGCAGTGTACCTCGTATATCTGCCTGTTCTGCTCCCCACTCTGTCTCTGGTGAAGCCTCTCGCCGCCCCCATACGGCTGGCCTGTAGCCCAGTCTGTATGCGTGAATAAATAAATCTTTAAAAAAACAAACGAAGTTAGAGGCCACTGAGACTTGTGACCAGCACCACAAATGGATGCTGACTTGTTGGAAAGTTTTTACCAAGGAAAAAGCAGCAGTGACAAACTTCTCTAGATGAGGTTGGCATGAAAGTGCAGGAAGCACTCACTCCTCTCAGACTCCCTCTGCTGCAAACAGCTCTTAGAGGAAACTAGTGCAACTATCATGATCTGGCATTTGTCCTCTAAAGGTCTGATAAAACTGCAGCTTAAAGTAAAAAAGAAACGCACTCGATGTATTTTAAAGACATACTAGTTAAAATTTTTAAGAGCATCTGTTTTATGTTAAGCTGCAAAGAGGCACGGCCTGCATATATTTATATGTAGAGTGAGTGGGAAAAACACAGGACAAAGATCTAAAGTTTATTTCTGAAACTTTAAACATTTTTCAATGGGTAGGATTTGTGGGGGAGGTGGTATGAATTTTAACACACTTTTTAAAGTGTCATCAGAACTTTACCTGAAGTCATTCACCGGTGACAAACCAGGTCAAACGATTCTGATTTGCTAACTTTTGAATCAAACTAAAATTTAATTTTTGTTCTGAGTTACAAAGTAAATAAAAGGTTTTTCCAAAACAGGTTTATTCTGTTGGAATTTGTCAAACAAAGAACTCAAAAGGGAAAATGTTCACTGGGTTGTCTTCTTCCCCAGAAGACCGCTCCTCATCCCTCGACTTAGCTGATGGTTAAAAATCTCCTCAGCAGCAAGCATCACAGCAGATGATTCTCTTTCCATTTATTTGACACCACACACAACCAGAGGGCGAAGTCTTCAGAGACGCGAGATGTATTTCATTTACAACTGTATCCCTGTGCCTGGCACAATGCCTGGCACCGGGACACTAATAACTGATTTTCTGCTTGAAGTACAGTTCACAGGTTTGCTCCTCAGTGTACCAGAGGATCATTATCCAGAACAGGTCAGAGAAAATCCCAGAAACAAATTAGGCATACTTTTGGGGCGGAACATGAGAGATGGATGTACTTCTGAGCCGTGAAGCTGATTTTCCATAGTTCCTTCTTTCAAGCATCCAATCTTTATATGTCTTTGCTCAGAGCTTTAGGTTCTTTCTAGGGTCTGCTTGTTGTGGGTTTTCTATTTCTTTGTTTAGTTATTCTATATTTCACCTAAGAGTGAAACTACCTGGTTTTTATCTTTCTCTTATGACTTATTTTGTTTAGCATAATCTCCAGTTCCATCCACGTCATCATACATGGCAAATTTCATCCTTTTGAGAGCTTGTGTGCAGTCTTCTTAGTCTACCCATTTTCATTAGGCACTAAGGTTGTTGTGCTAACTTGGAATTGGAAATAGCACTACAATGAACATATCACTTCCCAACAGTATTCTTGAATCTGTAGGATAAATACTTAGCAGCAGGACTGGCTGGCTATAAGCTAGATCTATTTTTAATATTTCCAGAAACCTTTCTTCCCACAGGAAGTAGACCATATCCATTAGCAACGTACAAGAATGCCCTTTGCTCCACACCCTCACCAACACCTGTTGTTACTGGTCTAGCTGAAGCGAGCCAATCTCAGGAGGGAGGTCTCCCATCGTGGTTTTGGTTTGCATTCCTCTGATGATAAATGATGATGAGCACAGTTTTTTTTTTTTTTTTATGTGCCTGTTGGTCATATGTTTTCTTTGGAGAAGTTTCTGTAAGTGTCTTCTACTTAACTTACGCTGCACAATCCTATGTAGATCTTAGACAGCTCTGGACCTGTGATGCACAAACATTTTCTCCACTCAGCATGGTGTCTCTTGTTATTATAACAGCGACTTTTGCTGTGCACTAACATTTAGTGAGCTGTAGTTCCATTTGCACTTGTTTATTTTCGTGCTTGCTTCCCTCACCATCGTAGCTGACTTTCCAAAGATGTCACAGAAGCCAGTGTCATGGAGTGTTTCACCAATGTTTTGGGCTGTATTTTATAGTTTATATAATTTATGGCTTCATATTTTACACTCATCAATCCGCTTTGAGTTGGTGTTTGTTTAAAGGGTTAAATCTTGGTCTAGTTTCATTCTTTTTTATGTGGCTGTCCAGCTTCCACAACATTTTTTTAAAAAGATTTATTTATTTATGCATACAGAACTGGGGTACAGGCCAGAGGTGCAGGGGCAGTGAGAGGCTTCACCAGAGACAGAGCGGGGAGCAGAACAGGCAGATCAATGAAGTACACTGCTGAGGGGAGCAGCAGGTGAGACAGGAGAGGTCTGCTGCACCATGTAGAACACCTCCAGGGCTGGGGATCGAACTAGCACTGAAGCAGTTGCAGCTAGCTTGCAGTGCTGCACTTTAATCCACTTTGCCATCAAGGAGGGCCCCCAACAACATTTTTTGAAGAGACTTTTCTTTCTCTAAGGTACATTCTCAGCAACTTGGCTTTAGATTAATTGTCCATATAAGTGTGGATTTATTTCTGGACTCTCAATTCCATTCCATGTATTTTGGTGTGTGTCTCTGGGCTTATTTTGTACAGAACTCTGTGATTCCTGGATATGAATTTTTGATTCCTTCCCATACATAAAAATTAATTCAAAATGGATTAAAGACTTGGATGTAATACCTGAAACCATAGGAAACACAGAAGAAAACATAGGCAATACACTCCTTGACATCAGGTCTAATGATGTATTAGAGGTCTAGATTGCAAGGCAAAGTAAGCAAAAAGGGCTTTATCACACTAAAAATCTGCTGTTCAGCAGATGAAACTTGCATCAAAGAAAATGCATCCTACCAAATGGAGGAAGATATTTGCATATCATATCTCTGGCAAAGGGTTGAAATC